ATTTTTAAAACAACTCCTAATGCTTCAAAACTTGTTATTTGTAACTGATACTTGTGAAACAAATAATGAAATGTTCTTATATCATTTGATTCATCAAAGGAGGAATGTTTAATAAATTTTCATATGGACATTTATTAAGAGGCCTTTACTACCAAACTATTCCTCTAATAGTTTAATAGCTGGATCATAACTTTCAGATGAAAAAGAAAATTCCTTTGCAATACTGACCCACTAGCGGCCGAGCGATAAATTCTCCGAACACTGGTAATTCGGTCCGGCGTTCAAATACTGGTGAACAGACTAGATGCATGGACATTTTCATGTTTTCCCCATGTGTAACATATATATAAGCCAATTTCCCTTAGAAAGTATTTCATGAAGGCATCCTTCCCCTTGGGCAACTAGTTCTTGTGTGCTTTACCAGAATCAAATAAACCAAATCCTCAGTAGTACTTGTGGCAGTACCTCCTAAATGATAGTTAAACTTATCAGCTGGTACTGTGATGCTTCTTTGGCGAAATGAAGCAACTCCAATGATGGAACACAGCAATAACTTTTATTTAACACTCAAAAAAAAAAAAAAAAAAAAAAAAAAAAAAATGGCGACATACAAACAAGAAGAGAAAACATATTCTATCATTTTAAAATAAATTACATTCTTCGGGCGAGAGTCGCACGAGGCACTTGAGTCTGGTTTCAAATATTGCCATTCACAAATACCTTAATGTTCATCTATTTAAATTATTTAATCTACAAGATTTTAATATTATTTAAAGCTGTTACAGTACTTGTGTATTAACGTAACCACCATGACACAGTTTGGTGATTTTTGCAGATGGAAAAGTAAAAGTTACTTATCAGGTACAAGTTTGTGATTTTCATTACATTCTTTTAAAGAGATTCCCAAATTATCAATGCTTATCTAAGTCGACAGACATTATTAGTGTATGAGAAGTCAACATATTCTTAGCAATTCTAGTTGTTAAATAAGGATTTTATGTTTCATTAAAACAAGAACACTTCCATTCGTTTCCAAATCTTTCTGCAATTTTGCAATTTTTTTTGCAGTAATATTTTCTTCAAGCACACAGTGATCTATTTTTGCCTTTAAGTAAGGGGGGGAAAAATGTAGAGACCTCAGAAACACTGGCTATCTACCCAGTGCGTCTCGTCGTTTTTTCCTGTAGAGATTTTTGTGTCAAAATTCTGCATTCCTACAAAAATTTTACCATTTTACCGTAAGAAAATTTAGCTTCTTCCATTGCTTGCAAATTCCACAAGCACATGTTTTAAAACTAAGTTTGAGGCAAAATATATATAATGGTTTATTTATAAAAACCATTGGAACTTGGAATACAACAAAAAGAATGCATACAAAAATGGCGACATTGCTTTACTGTAGGATTATTATGAGAATTGTTGTCTGAAGAGTAGTTATATGCATGGTTGCCAGAGTTTGGCATATTCTGAAAATTTGGCAACGTGTACTGAAGTCTAATATGTCTACTAATAAGTCTACCGACATCTACTAATATGTAAGTACTAATATGCCTACCAACATCTACTAATATGCAAGTACTGATGAATTTTATTCAGTGATTCATTTTTATGTATAGCTGATTCATAGGAATTCAAAAAATTAAACCACTAGCTGCTGTTTTGATAAAATTTAGGAACGGGTAATTTAGGTAATTTCACATTAGCAGTTTCCTTCACATGATCAAGTTCAAAGTTTAATTTACCAATCAAGTTCATCTGATTTAAATAGTGTTCTAATTCTGTATCTTTATTTTTCAAAGTTTCAGATTTATCTTTCTATTTTTCTAAAGCTTTTAATTCATGAAAACTAACTTTCAATGGTTTCAGTAGTTCTGATTCAGAATTCAGTAGATCTAATCTGCATTTTTCAGGGTTTCAGATTTTTTTTTTTTTTTTTTTTTTGTTTTTGTTCTAAAACTTCTAATTTATTAAGACTAATTTCTGGTTTCAGTAATTCTGATTCATTTTTCTTATAATGCTTACATGGTTCTTGATAACCAATTTTTCTTGTTTAATGAATTATTTAACCATTTATTGATATTTTTTTCTGCCAGTCTTAATATTACAGGTAAAAATAATTCTTTAAGTATACCTTCACTATAATACTTACTTATGAACTTATATGCTATAATATTGACCAATAAATTAAATCTTGTGTTTTTTATTTATTTTGTTAAAAACTTGTTAACTTTAAAACTGTGGTCTTTATTAGCTTCATTTTAAGTGCTATCTTGCAGCGTCGGTTTTAACCATTGCTGCTTGCATGAGCATTACCCATGATCATTAGTGGAGTTTCACTGTTGCATGGTGTAAATTGCTCTCTTATTGCTCAGCATTCATATAGAATTTTATTTTAATTTATTACTGTTTGAGAAATTAGGGAAAAATAATATTTTTATTGCCTTAATTTTGAACCCAAATATATACGGATGTGACGAAAGTTTTCCACCAAAAGTGTTCTTAATAAAGTTCATTTTGGATGTCCTGCGCAGAATGGAAGATAGCTCCGGCAAGATGTAGCTGCAGGTATGAAAAAAGGTAGAAATCCGAAAGAGCGATGTCATGGCTATATGCTGGGTGTGGTAAAAGATCCCATTCGAGTCTGTACAGCCGGTGAATGCAGACACATGTGAACCTGCATAATCTTGAGCGAACATTACCTTTATGTACCAGAATTCAGTTCAATGTTTTTCCTTGATAGGAGCATGAACATGGACTAGCATCTAGCTATATATCTTACTGTCAAGGGTTTTACTTTTTTCCAGATGTGCTTTATGAATAATACCAGAGCAATCCCACTAGATACAAAGCATGATCTTTTTGTTAGTCAAATTGCGCTTTGTAATGACAGGCTGACCAGGTGCAGACCAATCCCCTTTTTGGCCTGTGTAGTTTAACTAAATCTGCTTTTCATCACAAGTGACAGTCCAGTCCAGAATTTTGTTCTTACATTGATATTTGAGGAGTTTAGTGCAGTCCTGAACATGTCTGTACTTATCTGCTTCAGTTAGCTTGTGCAGCACCCAGCGATTGAAATTGTACGTCAAGTTTATATGATGCATAGTGCGACAAATGGACATGGCATTAACATCTAAGTCCAAGCTCTTGAGTGATTACATACTGATCTTTTTCCACAAGTTCTCAGTGGTGGTTCTCATCAACATCAGTAGGTCGGCCTGAGTGCTCTGCTTCTTGAATGTCATACACCTTGTTTTTGAACTTTCGGTACCAAACCTTCACAGTGTCATATGATACAACAGTAATACCTAAAGCTATACACAGGATTTGGTGGCATTCTGTAGCTGACTTTTTGCAACAGAACTGGAAGTAAATGATGGTTCTAATCTGGTAGCATGATAGTTTCTTTTTGGACACCTTGTACTTGATGATAATGATATTTTTTTTACAAATTTAACAACACAGTGTTTTAAAGCAAGTCTCTTTCTTTCAAATGCCAAAAATCATTTGACAAAATATGATTAAACGTGACTAAGCGAACTATTTGCACAGATGACATTTGCAGTGGCAGTAAAATTTTGTTAAAAAAATAATATTTTGGTGTATAAGCGTAGAATTTTTAGCGCTTTTTTTAAAGCTAACTTATGGGGTCAACATATATACAGATTCGCTAATCTCAAAATATAGGTACTTTTTAGGCACCACTTTTTAAATTCTTTTAGATTATATTTCTTAATCTTATGAAAAAAAATTCTAAATGAAATTAATCCCCTGTTTTGTGAAAACGAGTTGTTTTATTTTCGCAATTATTTATTTTTTGCTGGTTTACTGCATCATAACCAAAACAAAAAATCTAATATCAAATCATAAGCCAATGCCCACATGCTGTTTTATTTATTTATTTATTTATTTTTATTTTGGTACCTTTGCTTATTTAGGATGTTTTTTTCTTCCACTCTCACAATTGTTATTCATTTATGAAGAAATGCTGAACATAGCACTAAGTACTGCTTCAAGAAGTTCAGATCAGCAGATCTAAGCATTTATGATAACCCTACAGTGGGCAATCACAGGTATTGAATGAAAAGGCCCTGAAAGCAGCCAAGAAAGAATGAAAACTGTGAAATGTGAGGTGAACTTGCCAAGCGCTTCCATGTTTCCTAGAAAACATTCAGACTCCACTGCATTGTACAGGTAAGGTGTACAAGTTGAACAAGTGGACACCCCACACAATATTAGCAACCAACAAGGAAAGATGAGCGGCAACTTGCTGATTGTTGCTTGCTCAACACTGCAACAAACCCATACTTGGTCAACACTTACTAATGACAAAAAGTGGATTTAGCATGACACTCCTGAACATCTTAGACATTGGTTTTCCCCATATGGCTCTCTGCCTCACACCTCAAGATTACCACTACACCTATGCAAGATCCACCTCTGCAGCTAGTGGACTAGTCACCAAATGGTGCATTATGAGCTATTACCACATAGCCACACCATCACTAAGGGCCTGCACTCATAGCAGCATGATTTTTTTTTTTTTTTTTTTTTTTTTTGCAAAAGAGTGTATATTACCTTTTATTTGAAAAGCTAACTTTATATATTATATCAGAAGTAATTTAATCTTTCTATATTATTGAGGTACAGTAACATTCTTTCTTTGTATAATTGCAATAAATTATAGTATAATTTCTTGGATAAGTATTTAATCATGCATTAGGTACAGAATTATTGAAAAGGAGAATTTAAAATTACTGTAAAATGTACTGAAAGTATTGGATATTTATTGTATATTCTGATATGAATTTTTGTTTAATTTTTTAATCAATAATTTAAGAAGTAAAAACACACTCTAATGGTAGTAATATTAGTATTTGTGTGATACTTAACTTCAGTATTACCAGTGTACATCTGTCTAAATTTTTTCGCTATAATGAAAGTTAATATTCCTGTAATATTCTGTATAATTGTATCAGTTTTTAATGGTTTTTATTTCTTAGCAGATACTACTAGTAGTAGTAGTTCATCAAAAAAATCAAGATTAGATCAACTTCCTGCTGCTAATTTGGATGCTGATGATCCAGTTGATGATGTAAGTAAAAATTTTAACTATTTTTATTTTATCAAATTTAGTTATAATAATAAATATATATTGTTAATTGAATTTCAAAAATACCTTGAAATTCAGAGATCATGCTCCGAGTTAAAAGTAATAACACATTGTGTAAATAATGGCTCTTTCCAGTTTTGCATTTTCTGCTTCTTGTACCTCTGGAATAATTAACAAATCAGAGCATCTTTTTGTTTTATGGAATAAAAATACTACATATCAGAGTGAAAATGCTTACAGATCAACATTACGATCAGAGTAAATATACTCACATTTGTGAAAATTGCAACACCAAGAAGGAATCGTCATAATTGAATGCAATTTAATACACAGTTGAGTGGTAGTGGTACAAATAAATGATTAAATGTTCAAAGCAAACAAACAAGAACAAGAGATCAGAATCAGTATTTTGTGTGGCCACCACGCGCCGCAATAAGTGCTGCTACACGACGTGGCATGGAGTCAGACAAAGTTTGAATGTCTGACTGAGGAAGAGCATTCCATATCATTTGTACGCGTACCCAAAGTTCGTCTGCAGACGCAACAGGACGAGGATCACGAGCAAGACTCCGACCAATGACATCCCACACATGTTCAATTGGCGACATATCCGGGGAACACGCAGGCCAAGGAAGAAGCTGTACCTGCTGCGCTGCAAAGAAGGATTTAACAATCCGAGCAGTATGAGGGCGGGCATTGTCCTGTTGAAATACAGCGCCTGGCAAGCTTTGAAGGAAGGGAACAGCTTCGGGCTGTAGAACTTCACGGATATACCGGTTGCTTTTCAGATTGCCCACAATTCGTAGCAATTGAGATCGTCTATGATATGCTATGGCGCCCCAGACCATAACTCCGGGTGTTCGTCCACTGTGGCGTTCGATAATGCACTCCGGAAGGTGGCGTTCACCGGCATAGCGTCTGACACGAATGCGGCCATCATGGTACCACAAATTAAAGCGGGATTCGTCAGAAAACACGACATGCTGCCAATCAGCATGCCAGTCTCTATGCTGATTGGCCAATTGTAGCCGCAGGCGGCGATGGTCGTGCATTAGGGGGATCCTGTATAAAGGAGTCCGTGCGCGCAGTCCACACTGCAGCAGACGTCTACGAATTGATGAAGCACACAATGAAACACCTGTAGCTATTGACCACAGTGCTGCCAATTGTCTAGAGGAAGCTGTACGGTCCGTCCGCGCCATGCGGACCAGGTGTCTATCATCACGAGCTGACGTCACATTTCGGGGTCCACTCCCGGATTTCCGAGTTGTCCGACACTCGTCCGTCCACTGCTTCCAAACGCGCATCACTGTGCTGCTGTTACGCTGCACACGAGAGGCTACTGCACGATACGACAATCCAGCTTCACGAAGGCCGATGATTCTCCCTCGTTCAAACTCTGTAAGTTGTTCAAATCTCGCTCTCTTTCGTCGACGAGGCATAAGTACAGATTGAGTTAACGTTTACCACTAGCAGATAACCACCGATAACCATACACGCCTCGCTACAGCCGTCTATTTATTCGGATCCATCAGCCGTTCAGAGGGCGCTGCTCAGCATACGCATGCGCTCGGATTTGCAATTCTAATCATTTGCATATCATGCGCTACTTTGCATTTCCTGAAAATTTCAGCTCACTCGTGTAAGTCCTTCATGGTGTTGCAATTTTCACAAACGTGAGTGTATTAGGTAGCAGTTTCAAGTAGCTGAAAGTATTATCAGAGATATTGCGTGCATTCATCTAAAACTGGAACAAAATTTGGAATATCTGATGGAAGACACAGTGTTAATCCCAAAAATTGCAAAATAAAAAAATTATTACTAATCCTGTAACTACTAGAAGGGTTGTGGTGCTAGGGCTCATGCAACTAGTGCAGTTTCACCGAATAGAATTTAAGGACAGAATTTGGGGGGGGGCTGCAAAATTTTAGAATTTAGATAAGAACCAAGCAGCAAAATTTAAAGATGGCAGAATTTTCCGGATGGCACACCAATCTTGTGCATTGTTGCTATGAGATGGAGCGCTGAGCTTCTGTGATGTTTCTTATAAGATAGCAGGCACTTGCTCGCTAGGCTAAAAATTTGGCAAAAATACATTTTTATTCCAACTAACTGAAATTTTTCTAATATTACAAAAAATGCGTTTACCTTTATGCTTGGTGAATTACAGAATTTAATACACATAACTTTGGCAGCTGTAATCATATATATAAACAATGAAAGAGGAATTTTAAAGCAAACTTTCAGAATTTTTTAAAAATACGTTTAAAATATTTAACATAAAGCAACAAAACTGCACAGACACATCCACACATATATACATTTACAATGGAATTTAAAAATTGGTTTTCTGTGTGATGTGTTTTGAAGCATGGGTCCACACCAAGTCCTACATTAAATTTTTTGCACTCAAACTAAGATGCTTTTGCCGAAGCTCACTTCCTCTGCATAGTTTTAGAGCAAACTATTTATCTTCTCATTTTCTCTTTCTTCCTATTAAGAATTGACTATGGCTTTCTGTAAGGCCAATTGGCATCGATGCAGCTAATGCCCAAAATTTACATTCTTTTCTTGACATAACCATCTCTGTAATTTGGCTGATTACTTTTAATCAAAACTGAAGTAGTGGTTTTTGTACCATTTTTGACATAATTTAAAACAAAAGGATTATAGATTGTAGTGTCGAGGAGACCAAAAAATAATTTTTTATGACATCTGGAAGATTTTCTTTAAGATGAATAGTGACTGCACCTTTAATATCCACTCCTCCCATATTTCTGTTGTACAACAGTATAGAGTTTGGTTTTTCAGCACTTTCTCCTATTTTATAATTTTGTTTACTGCTAAAGCCACTGACATAACTGCTATTCAAATTTTCCTGCAATGAAGCTGTATAGCCTGCTTTTGATAAATATCGCTTTCATTTTGATATCTTAAAGGGGAGGGGGAATTATCTTTATACAAAAGAAAAAACACCTTATTCTGCATATTAAAAGAAGAAACTAACTAAAAACTGCAGTACTGTGAAATACTTCTTCCTCAGGAAGCCGTTCGAAAGAAACAAAAATGCATATGCATACCCAATATGCTTGTTTACATTTCTGAATCTCTATGTATCCTTCAGAATCAAATGAAGCGGTCAAAATTCCGGCATCACATTCCCATTTGTCTTGGTACCGTGGACATAGGATGCCATCTAAGTGTTTACATTTCGTTCCATATGATTGTCTTGCATACATTACAGCCGTCTATCTATTCAGTAATCATCTGAGGTGCAGACGTCACACCTGCCATGGATGAACCAAATACTACTGTGACATGTATAACACAACCATCTGGAAAGGGTTAAAAGGGAGACACTGGGTGGCAGAAATTAGGGCAGCAAAATGTTTAGAATATAGGGTAGTACCAGGAGACCTGGAGAGATTGCCCCATGGGGCAGAATGCCCAGTATTGGCCTTGACTACTAGTCATATTAATCACTATTTAAATGATAACTTTTAGCAAAGGGTAACAATACTGATTTTTTGTTCACCAGTGCTGTTAATGTATTATCTGTTTCAGAGATGTCCAACGTATAGCACATACACTGCAAGAGCCAAAACATTATGACCACCTACTCAGTAAAGCATTGCGTGACCTTTGGTTTAGAAAACAGCTGCATCTCACCTTGGCATGGATTCTACAAGTTCTTGTTTGATGACTAGAGACAGGTTATACCAAATGTCTAAGCACCAGTCCTGCAAACTTGAGATATTCCAACATGGTGGTGTTTGAGCTCTGAGCTGCTGCACCATGACATCCCAAATGTCCTCTATTGGGTTGAAATCGTGCAAATTAGGTGGTCAGGACATTAATTGGAATTCATCCGTATGCTTCTCCAACACAATTCGAGCCTTGTGACATAGGGCATTGTCCTGCTGGAAGATTCCATTTTCAGTAGAGAAGACAAGTGCTATGTAAGGGTGCAGCTGATCTTCATGGATCCACACTGTTCAGATAGTCCATAGCTTTTATGATCTGTTCTACCACAACTAAGGATCTAAGAGCTGCCCATGAGAACATCCCCACAAGCATAATACAGTACAAAGTCTTTAATCCGGACGTCTATAATCCAGAAGTATCTGTAATAAGGACCTCAAATATGTGTTTACACATGCGCATAATACATTTACGCATGCGCATAATATGTTTACGTATGCACATTTAATGTATAACTGACTGTATAAGCTTAGCTAAAATTATCTAATTATCTATTTCAGTTAATGTTGCAGATTGCGTTGCTCTTTAATCTTCTAATTGGATTTGGCTTATTATTTTTTGCAGACTGTTAGAGCAATTTTATAAAAAGTAAGCTTGAATTTTCGATTATGTCAAAAAGAGTTTCCGATTCTGGAGCTACCAAAGGATCTACAAAGCGAAAGCATGTTTCAATGTCCATCAAACAAAAAGTGGAATTGCTGCAAAAAATGGATAAAGGCATATCCTTTGTTTCTCTTCAGAGCAGATGTTTTTATTTTATTCGGCTTATAATTCCTTACTAAATGTAGTACTTCATTTCGATGTACTTCATCTTTGATATGATTTAAATCAAATTTCTCGTCATTATAAATATCACGAATACACTTCAAGTAGTTTTCTGGTTGCAATTTTCTAATTTCGACTATGCGTATGTATGCTTTACGCATGCACGCTTTGAAAGAAATGTTTAATAAAGTAAACAAATAAATATTAAGCTTTTTTTTTTTTGTAAATTTTGATACCCCTTAGATCATAATTGCTCTTTATTTCATAAATTACGGTTTCATATTTTTAATTTTATAACTTCTTCATGCCATCTTACCAGATTTAAATTGATGATCTATAATCCGGAAAAACTCCTAATCCGGAATCGCCAAAGTCCCGATGAGTCCGGATTAAAGACTTTATACTGTACTGCTACCTCAGCCTGTGTATGACCTGCTGTACAGATGGAGCAACTTTTCACCTGACATGACCATTGACATGATAAATGAGAAATCATGATTCATCTGACCAAGCAACTGTCATCCACTTATCCTTGTCCAGTCTCGAAATTCCTGGCCCACTGTAGGCGTAGTTGACAATGATACTTTGTCAACAGAGACAGGCAAGTGGGATATCTGTTGCATAGTCCCATATCCAAACAGTGTTCTCTGAACAGTGTGTTCTGAAACACGTGCACTTGGACCTGCATTGTATTGGGCTGTCAGCTGAGGTACTGTTTGGTGCCAGTTTTGCTGTGCCAAATGGATGATGTGTGTGATGTCCTTTTCCTTTGATGTGTGGATGTTCTTCACCTTGGCATCTGTTGCTGGTTTGATCTTTATTTATCCACTTTGCATAAATACTAACAATGGCAAATCGTTGACAACCTACTAGTCATGCAGTTTTCGGAGATACTCATTCTGAGTCTTTGGGTCATTACTGTCTGCCCTTTATTGAATTTTCTCAGATCAGCTGTCTTTCCCATCATTCACAAAAGTAAATGCAAGAATGATTCCTTACCTTCTCCAGCTGCAGTTAAATACCATTCCCACTTAATTACATGCCCTTCACGTCATCTAAATGAGTTCATTGGAAAATGTTGGGCGGTCATGATGTTTTGGCTCATCAGTGTACATCATAAAACACTGCATGATTGGCACACTGAAGCTGGAAAAAAAAATATTATGCAGTTTATTATACAGTCAAAAGTCGTTAATCCGGACTCGTTGGGACTTCGGCGATTCCGGATTATCGATTTTTCCGGATTATAGATCATCAGTTTAAATCTCGTAAGATGGCATGCAGAAATTCTAAAATTAAAAATATGAAACCGTAATTTATGAAATAAAGAACAATTATGATCTAAAGGGTATCAAAAATTTACAAAAAAAAAAAAAAAAAAAAAAAAAAAAAAAGCTTAATATTTATTTGTTTACTTTATTAAACATTTCTCTCAATGTAAGTTGTTTAAGTTGCTTCATTTTATGTGATAATACTTTCTCTTTAATTCTATAAAAAAGACATAATTTCTTGTTCAGTTACAAAGTTCCGCTGTTCAAGTCCCGTTAATTGCTGTGCCGAGAATATACCGACTAACTTGTCAATCGAAATTTTTTTCGTTTTCACTAACCTCTCTGTCACATTCTTCATGTCTTATCCATTTTTTTTGCAGCAATTCCACTTTTTTTGTTTGTTGGACATCGAAACATACTTTCGTTTTGTAGATCCTTTGGAAGTTCCAGCATTGGAAATTCTATTTGACATAATCGAAAGTTCAAGTTTACTTTTATAAAATTGCTCTTACAGTCTGCAAAAAATAATAAGCCTGATCCAATTCCAAGATTAAGGAACAACGCAATCTGCAACATTAACTGAAATAGATAATTAGATAATTTTAGCTTACACCGTCCGTTATACATTAAACGAGCTGGCGAAAACGTATTCTGCACTTGCGCATATGCATATGCGCAGTAGTCAAGGTCTTACGCGCACGCGTATGCGCAGAAAATTTTTAGCTTTGAGGTCCGGATTATGGGTGTCCGAATTAATGACTTTTGTTTGTATATGTAAGTACACAGTTAACCAACCAATGAATTCTATTGCCACTGAAGTGTGCATTCATTATATTTGTTTGATTCTGAAGCAATAGGCACATACAAATACTGGCAGTTATTTAATCAATATACAATTGACTCTCACATCATAATGTTTGTTGGGTGTGTGTTTAAGTATGTGTAAACATTTCTGTGTTATTGAACTTACATGCTTTTTTTTTTAACAATTTTTAAGGTAAAATTTTTGTTTTCATAAAAATGTGTAATGAAATTTTTTTTTGTTTTAAACATGTATATTGTTCTTAAAATTTAACCGATCGTCAGCAAAGCTTCCAAAAGCTCTTGTTCTGTGTTATTGTACATATAGATAATTTTATACATAACTGTTAAAGTATAGCCATGTTACCACACTTTATACGGCTGAAAAGGTTATAAGTTTGTCTAAAGTATAAAAGGTTAGCTACACATAATCTGTTGCATTTCCTGCCATGTTCTTTGTATCATGCAAATTTTAGGTGTGTTGGGTTATTCCTAGTGTTTCAGTGGCCAACAAAGATTTATTTAGTAAAAATTTCTTAAATCATTGCCATGTTTGCTAGTATAAACTAATAATAATGGTTCAATATTAAATATATATTAAGAAGCTAATCCTTATCATTAATATGTTTTAAATGGGACAAAAATACAGTTAAGTTTGTGATTATAGTATCTATTATAATTAATAATATTTTAATCTTTTTAGTTGATTTTATTAGTTTGATAAACCGAATGAACTTATTACAGCTAAATGAAATGGATACAGTACCTTGATTAGGTTTTATTTAGTAAGCAATGCCCTGAATTTTTTTTAAAATGCATAAAATATTTTGCTTTTGATATCATCTTACTGTGTAGGGATATTTAAGTTTGAGGGCTTGAGTTTAGTTTTTTGCTTTTAATCACTATCAGTCTTTTTTTTTTTTTTTTAAGTCCATTTAATCGCTTTTGTTATTCTTTTAAAACATTTTATAAGAGGGCATTTCCTTTAAAATTGCATTTGTGGTGTATAAGTGTTTAAGATTCTGTGAAAATCTAAACCTTTCTTTGAAGACCACCATTTTGACTTAGGTAAAATCATGTTCCTTTTTAAGGATTAGTTTGGTTTAGTTTATTATGGCATAGCACATCAAGCTATCTGCCCAAGGGGATCCCTTTTAAGGACTATACATTCTTAAAACGTAATTTTCGTGTGCTACTTTATAAAACAATAACCTACTTTTGATATAAAAGGATTAATTTATTTTGTATTGTAAAATAGCTGAAATTATGCATTTAAAAATTTATGTTTGAAGATTTCATTTTGAAATGATTATTCAGATTTGAAATATTTTATAATCAGGACGATGAAAGCGAAGATAGTGATGAAGATGATACTGCTGAACTTATGGCTGAGTTGAACCAAATCAAGAAAGAGCGAGCTCAAGAAGAAGCTAGAAGGGTATGTGGCTTAAACTGAGAAACATTTTCTTTTTTTGCTATATAGCCTGTAGTATTTTATTTGGAAGATTTATGCATTGTAATACTATTTAATATATGTGTTTTAAATTTAGCTTTTCAAAATAATGAAAATTTAAATCTTGTAAATTCATGCCATTTTTATTCTAATGTAAAAATAAAATTTTAAGTATATTTAGAATCAAACATCAATAATGCAGAAATCTGAAAATCTAAGTTGCAATAAAAATTGTATTTTTATCACTCTAAAATGGAATTGTTTTATAAATTTGTATAAATTTAATTGCATTTTCTCTTATAATTGTATGTTTCCTTAAAATTTTCCTTAATGGAAAGGGAACATGTAAAATTTAAAATTAGGGGGAAAAAAAAACTTAGTTTGGCATAGATTTTGAATAAAACTCTGGTGGTTTTGATGATGATCAGACACAGATCGCTTCTTCAGAAGGGAAGGGGGGTATTTCACCTGAAGAAGAAGGGCTGCTAGTTTCATTTAATAGAAGATGAAGGCGAATTAAAACCCAAATTTGGTAATATAAATTTAGATTTACTACTTTTTGTAGTGTGAATATTGAGATAAGAAAGTATACCTTAATTAAGGAACTCTGTAGTGCAGTTAAAAATGATCTGACATATTTAATAGCATGGTACTTTCTGTTATTCAGATCTGATGGGATTGTACAGGAATGCTAAAAAATTAGGGGGGAAAAATGCACCAGATCTAATATAAAAGAATTAACAGTGGTCACCCATAAGGTATCTGGAAATATAATCAGAAGGAATGTATAAGGTTTTTTTTTTTTTTTTTTTTTTTCAGGTTTGTGGGAAAAGATTTGTTTTGTTCATTAGTTAGGAGTTAAGCAGAATTTAAAATTGCAGTTGTTCTTGAGGAAAATTTTTATATCATCAATGCTAGAGTTGGAAAGTAAAATTATTCTTAATACTATAATACTTAATACTATAATACTTAATTCTATAATACCAATTCTTTTAACTTTCGTTTCCGGATTTCAAAAACTGCTTTATTGGCAAAAGAAGTTCTACAAATCGTTGAAGTATTTTTCTCCTGCTGAGCCATCTAATTTCAGAATGAAGCAATAAGATTCCATGTTCGTTATCAAAGTTCATCAGTCAGCAATAAATTATTTTATAATGTCTTGCAAGATATCTCTATGCTATGACTGGAGACCATCTGTTAATCAGCTGTACCGCCGTTACGACTTTTCAGCTTTATTGCTGAACTGATGGAACCATGTACCATCTGATACATTCATTAATGAATTTTGAAAAATATACATCAATGATAAGTTGTAACATAGTAATTATCTTAAACATAAAATTTGGAAATTTGTAAAAGTAAAAATTAAATAAGAAATTAAAAATAATGACAATAGAGAAGTATTAGGTGAATTTTGAAAAATCAAAAGTCAAGGAGTCTTTAGTCTATAGTCAAGAGTTAATACGTAGGTAAGTTGAAAAATAAGTTTCCCCTGTCGACTGTGGTCATAGTTGTGTATAAAAGTAAAAAAATAGAATGAGACATTAAAGATATGACATACCTTTATTTTTCCACATAGGTACCAAGTACATTGAGACATTTGTTATATCGCTTGATAAGCTTCAAAAACCCCTCCAGGAAAAAATCAGGGCTTTGCATATGGAAGAAGCGTTGAACGGCTATGGGCAAAAGGCGACACAGCAGGAAAACGCGCAAGTCATTGATACACCATTGGGTAGAGGTCACTGCAAATCAAGCAGATGGCGCTGTTGCAGTGCCTGCACAAAGCGGAGACCAGCCTTTCATTTGAGCCCCGGTAGGTATGGAGAGAAGGTGCATTTTGAATTCGTGGTCAAAGGAGGAAGTGAGAGCGGTTATCCGCTATGAATGGGCACGTGGAGTATCAGGAATAGAAATTCATAACCGCCTCGTGGAAGTCTATGGGCCAGGTGTGATGTCGAAGCAAATGGTGCGGAAATGGTGTCGCACATTCAGTGATGGACGTCAGCAAGTGGAGGGCATACCGAGAGTTGGACGGACGTGCATGGCCACTACAGATGCAAATGTCAGGAAGGTGGATGACATGATTTAGAGCGAACCGGCGTATCACCATCGATGAAGTAGCGGAAGAACTTGGAATCTCACATAAGCGAGCTCGAAAATCATCCACGACATTCTTCGATACAGAAAGTGTCAGCACGATGGTTGCCCCGACAATTGACCTTGACACACAAGGAACAATGCATGGGAGTCAGCCTGGAACATCTCGTGCGTTACCATGAAGATGGCAATGACTTTCTGTTATGGATTGTGACAGGGGGTGAAATGTGTGTCCACCATTTCACGCCAGAATCGAAGGCCGCATCTATGGAGTGGAAACATCCGTCATCACCTGTCCGAAAGAAGTTCAAGACAACTCCCTCTGCAGGTAAAAAAATAGAATAAAAAGTGCTCCTCACAGTTTTCTGGGACGCCCAAGGAGTCTTGTTGCTGGACTTTTTGGAGGTTGGAACCATCAATGCTATGCGCTACTGTGACACCCTGTCGAAATTGAAAGAGGCGATTCGGAAAAAGCGGCCTGGCCTTCTCACATCTGGCGTTCTGCTGTTGGATGACAATGCCAGACCACATTCGGTGACGGCAAAGCAAAACCATATTGCAACTCTTGGTTGGGAGCGCCTACACCATCCGCCATACAGTCCTGATCTCGCACCAAGCGACTTCCATCTGTTTCCGGCTTTGAAGAAAAATCTCAGGGGAAGGCGCTTTGAAAGCAATACTGAAGTGAAACAAGCCGTTCAACGCTTCTTCCATATGCAAAACCCTGATTTTTTCCTGGAGGGCTTTTTGAAGCTTATCAAGCGATATGACAAATGTCTCAATGTACTTGGTACCTATGTGGAAAAATAAAGGTATGTCATATCTGTAATGTCTCATTCTATTTTTTGACTTTCATATACAACTATGACCACAGTCGACAGGGGAAACTTATTTTTCAACTTACCCTCGTAATAAAAGGTATATGAAAAGTCTGAATTTGAACTGTTTGATGAGACTAGTCTTTAGTCTCAAATAAAAGAAGTCATTGATAATCATAATTCTTGACAATATGGAACTATGCACTGTTTATTGAAGAATACAATAAAGAAGAAGGACTGAGAATATGGAAGGAGATATTGAATATTGAAGGACTGAGAATATGTTGTAGTCTAACAAATAAACTACATGGTAGTTGACGATGATATAAATATATAGGAAATCTATGATGATGTAGATGATGGATGAAAAAAGAGATTATAATGAGGATAGGTGACAAAGAAGTGTTTACAAGGACGATGGTAAGATAAGATATGAAATGCTATGCAGGAAGTTACAGATGATGAATGTGTTGATAAGTAATGATGATAGAAGACTGTCAAAGATGAATGATGATAATAGAAGCCAAAGATGGATGAATATAGTTTCTTGAAACTATTGAAGCTATGCACTGTATATTATTAGCAAGCTATAATATTAGTAAGCTATGAACTGTATATTAAGCTATGCACTGTATATTGATCAAGACGATGAAGAAAGAATGAGAAGATGAACAAGGGTAGATGGATGATGATAGATGATAATCGTTGACAGATTACGTTGCTAGATGATAATCGTTGAAAGAAGACAAACGTTGAAAGATAATGTTGAAGGAGTATGATGATAATTAATGATAAGAATTAAGTAGCTTTTAGATTATCACAATTAGTCGAAATATAGTTAATAAGATATTGAAGTTTATTTCAAAGAAACTTATTTTCAAGGAGTTATTGAAACCAAAGCGGGGCTGAAATTGAAGTATATTTTTTAAAATGGACATCTTTAGTTATTTCGCAATCAAACACATAATGGTCGATTAATCCCGTATTTCTGCAGATGCATTGATCTGTATGATGAAGGCCAAATCTATGGAGATAGTCAATAAAAGGCCCATGTGCTGTGAGGAAGGCAGTTACTGATCTATATATAGATATTAGGTTTTTTGAAACTTTAGGAAGAAATTTGAAAGTTCTGCAACTGGTAATTTCCTCATTCCAGCATGTGGCCAGATGGAAAAAAGATCTTCAAGTTTTCTCTTTAGAAGTGAAAGTGGTTTGGAAATCATGACAGATGGTAATGAAGAATCTGATGCCTCTGTTTTTGTCATATTATCAGCTATTTCATTTCCAGTGGTAACAATATGTGCTTTAGTCCTTTGGAGGTGAGGACGTAGATGAATAGGGAAGGAGGAAAGAAGAGTAAGAATTTGTGTAACTACTGGAGGGCGGCTATGACCAACTATTGCTTTAATACTGGATTCGCTATCTGAGAATATTATGCTGTGTACTGCTATTGCTTTTTTTGTTGCAAGTAGTTCAGCCTGAAAGATTGAAATTGTGGAAGTGAGTCGATTGCACTGTTGTTTAATTATAACATTATTTTGAAATGTGCAAAAGGCCCAACCAACTCCCGTGTCTAATTTAGAGCCGTCAGTGTAGAATTTAAGGTTAAAGTTACCTGAATTTGATGTTGTTATTAAGAAAATTGAAGTAAAAGATGAGAGATGAATGCTGAAGCAGGGTTCGTACGGTCCTTTAAGGTACGTTCAGACGTGGGTGTAAAGCACATAGAGGCATAGTCATTAGGGCATAAAATACGGGAGACCCGTTCACACCTGCGAGAACGAGGTGTAAGCTCGTGGCCAGTGAGAGAAGCTTCCTGCGTTCACTCTGCTTGTTTTTTTTTCGTTGTGTCATGGCTTTTTCAGCTCACCGCAAAGTTTTACTGGCTCAACAGAATGATCTTTTATCTGCTCTTCTCATTAGCCAAGAGGCAACGGAAGAAGGTAAAACACGAAATGGTCAAGAGATATTTTTTTGAAAGACCAATACTTGGTTGGCACATATATTTCTGTGCAAAGCAGTATGGAATATACTATAGTACTCTCTATACTATAAACATGCACATGC